TGCACTTTCTCCAGTGTGACGTTTCTCCAGACTTTCTACTGCATTCATTTTCCCCTTTTTTCTTCCAGTGGAGTACAAGAGTCCTCACCACTTTCCAGTTCCAAGTCATTGGTGTGGTGGACCACGGAGACTTCCTCCTAAATGAGTTTAGAAATTTACTACGCTCGATCCTCCTCCTGATGTATGGTTCGAGATGGCAATGCCCTGTCCCTATGGTTGTGTGCAGTATATACCTCTTTTTTTTGTTAATTGCAGTTGCATGAGGTTCTTTCCCTGCTTCTATGGTTGAATTTGGGTGACTTTGTCTGCCTCCTATTCACCAAAACATGCATGCTATTACAAATAAAACACTCTCAATTCCTCTCAGTCTTCAGCAATAATATTAGAGCTCAGACAAGATGGTAAAATTTTTTGTTATGTCGAAACTTAATATACTGTTTGAAAGCAATTAAAATATTGTGAAATATCAAACTACTCCCCTACAAACTTTAGAACTAAATTATATTGAAAACAGAGACATGGATGAGAAAACTTTACAGCTACAAAATTCACATCTAGTTTCTTCTGTTGTATTACAATGGACTTCAAAAGGAATCAAAATGCAAACTCTTATTCTGGCTCCATGCTGTTACCTGGAATTACATTTGGAGGAGTCCAAATTCAGATTTTTAGTTTGAGTAAATAATGTCTACACTAACTCCAGCCTTGTTTCCTTACTTTTTTACAATTCTTATTTGCAGGTTTACAATTCTTATTTGTATATTTACAAATATACAAAAATCCATCTAGAAGAAGAAAAATTTTTGTAATAAAAACTGTATAAACAAGTTTTTTACAAAAAAAAACATTCAGCAAGTAAATTCTAAGTACTATACAAAACATAATTATACCCAAATATAAATGATACTTACCTTTACTTGGGCAATTCATTATCTAACTTTCTAGTTCAATCATAAAAAATGGTTAGTGTCCAATTTAAATTTTAACAGTTACTTTTCTTAAATAAAATTTTATACAATGTTGCTGGTGAACCTTATATTGTCATTCAAAATATTTCATCAGTAGCATCTTTCAGAAATTTTGTAAAAACACTATTTTTGTTTAGACATATGATCCACATATTCCTAAGTAATCCATGTCATTAAGTAATAGAAAATATTTTAAAATATAGTCTCACAAACCAAGCTCACCACAGATTTCCAGTTTTTCACAATCTATCCATGAAAAAGAACCACAAAAAATCAGTTGCTACCACTCAGGATATTCCTGCCCAAACTTACCTGTATAAGAGTGGAGCTCAGTATTGTTTATGGCAGGGTTTCTCAACACATGGCACAATAATAAAGACCCCCCCCTCCCATATGCAGTTCACGACTCAACGGTTTAGGGCGGTCACAGTTGTTCTGGTCCACAGCAACCTATAACTGGGTGTCTCACAGCCCACTGGTTAAGAATCACTGCTTTATGCTACAGTTTCTACAACACTCGTTGACTTTAAACATGGTAGGTATTTTGGTTTAAATCATTTGACTCTGACCTCAGAGTCAAAGGAAACCAGGGGTGTTCAGAAAGATATTTCTCTTCACCCCATTCTTGTGTGAGAATTACCATAAGGGGTCTTCTAAGAAAAAAATATTTAAAGGTAGTATTTGATAATTGGATATAATATGCACACACATGTAGGTATTATTATATCCCATTAAAGGGTACATGAATGCTTTGCGGACATTCTGGACAAAATCGAACAAAAGCGGTGCAGGCAGTAGGCCAGTCTCAGACTGGCTCCATGGCTTCCCCATTAAATCATACTGATGCAGTGATGCTATGATGAAAGCAAATAATATTATTCATTCTACCTCTACATTTCCCAACACTATATAATATTATGGGTCATAATTTCAACAAATTGCGGATATATAAAACCGTAGGCTCACACAAAATGTGAATGCTAGTCTTCAATATATGCAAACATTTTCTGAGATTCCAGGAAATTCCCGGGCCCCATTTGGACACCTGGTCCCGAGTCGAGGTACCCCTGCACCCCCCTCTCATAGGCCATGTGTATGTGTATATATATACTGAACCAATTTGTTGCTACATAATGCCAATTTCTGACAAAATAAATTAAAGAGGCCAACATTCTCAGGTGAATGCAACATGTCTCTACCACACAACCCCAACATGGCCAGTTTTAACACCAGAAAAATTGTGAAAAACAGAGAAAATCAAAAACTGTCTATGCCACTGCTAAGGTATCTTCATATAAAATCTCCCATATAAGTTGGTTGAAAATACAAATGAATAGTTCACAAAAATTGAGCAAAAGACAAAAATTCCAAAATTGTTTTATATCTCTGTTTGTGACCTATAAAAAAGTATCTTTGTACCAAATCCCATGTAAGCTGACCAAAATACAACATAATTTTCTAAAAAACCTAAAATTATACTTTTTGTGGCATCTTGACCCCCTGTAATTAAAAATGGACAAGTCCACCATTTTTGTTTGTCAATGTGTGGGACCTGTTGAAAAGTATCTGTATACCAAATCCCATGTAAATTGTTCAAAATACAGCCAAATAATTGACCAAAACTCCCAAAATTTGGCTTTTTTGTGAGCTTTGAGCCCCTTAAAAAGACACAAAATGGGCAAATCCAATTTTTTTTTATGTCAATGTGTTGAGTGCATGAAAATTATTATTTGTGCCAATTTTCATCTTGATTACTAGAAAAGTGACTGCACAGGAGCCCAATATAAATATTCTTGGGTTCTTTGACGTTTACCACATAAAATCCTTAAAAAGGACTAAATAAAAAAAAATGGAAAGTAGGTAATACATTATGTTCAAAATGACTGAAATGGACCATGTCTGAAAAATTAATATTAATTTATTTCATTATTACACAGTTGGATAAAATTGATAAAATGCTATTTAATTAAACTTAATTTTTTTGAATTATTGTAAAGGTCTAATTTTTAAACAACAAATTTAGTTTCATTAAAATAAACCAATGTTAACATTTTTCTTACATTGAAAATGTATTTGCGATAGGCATTTACATTCTCTCACATCTTGATGTTTGTCTGCCCTCTAAGCACTGCTAACAATTTTTTTGCAATCAGTGCACCACCCTATATACCCAATCAATTTCACACCATTTCTGAACATGTAGATATTATGTGACTTCTCTCCACCAACAGTATTGTGCCACCTATACTGACACAGCTAGCTATTCCCACTTAATTCTCACTTTCAAGAATTGGCAGGTTCCAAGTACCTATCAGAAATACATTTTCAGTGTATGAAAATAGCTTGAATCCCACATTGCAAAGGTGAAGGGAAGGTGTAGGTGCACAAGTATCAAACCAAACAGAAAGCAACCACCCAGAATGGAAGGGTGTGCTTGGGGATGAAAATGAAACACACCTGTGGGGTACCGCACTACTTCTGGAACATGTATGCTCTTCACTCAGAAAATAGGAAAATAATCCAAAATATGCAAGTATTTTCTTTTTCCGCACAAGTGTAATATGTTCTCAGAGGTACAAGCTGTAGCAATGTATAAAGAGCATTAGCCAGGTACATACCCAACCTCAACAGAGCATGCAGAAGTTCCATAACTCATCCTCGGCATTAGGACGTTGTGGCTTGGGCATGTGGACCATGTTATGTATATGCCCATCAAACCCAACCGTAAGTAAACAATGACATATGTCAAACAACTAGAATTATGAAGAGGAATTGAGCAGTCGGTTGAAACTGTACAAACTTTCAAAATAACTATTGGAGCAAGAAGTATGACAAACTGAAACCGACATTACAGGGTGATGGTGTTCCTCACCTCAACCCTAAGAACAGGGAAATAGACTGTGACCAGTATTACAGACAAAATCATAACTTACCTAACTGTAAGTGCAGGAAAGAGACATCCTGCATCCGGAATTATAAGAAAGACATGGAACATTCACCCAACCTTAGAAACAGAGTATGTTCACCCTGTTGCCATTACTGCTTAAAACGAATTACCTATAATATCAAAACTAGTAATGTTTGTTTGCTTATTTTCTCAGTCAAAAAATCATTCACACTACCATTTGTGCTCTTTACGAAACTTCTTACTTCACTTTTTTGAAAAAATGAAATGTCTTTCCTTTTACTCCTGATCAACAATTAAATATCTCTTCTTGAATTATGAATAACCCGAATGGATTGAAATATTTAATTATCTCAAAATAAACCTTCATTTCAGTGCAATATCGAAATTAGCCTGAATTCTTCATAACTTCTGAACAGTGGTTGACCCAACGGGTCATGGTGGTCTTGTAAAACAATAAAATTTAAGTATAAACAGATGTACATAGTACTGAGTTTAAAGCTATTTAAGATAAACAAATGTAGTTTCAAGTTACATTTTGAAGTCATTCTATGAAGAGAAAAAGGATAATTTAGATTTATTTCATATACTCTATGGTGATTATGAGGTCGGACAAATTGATCAACCTCATACAGAGTTAGGGTAGAGAAAATAAGAAACAAAATATAAAGTTTTACTGAAAAAGAAAAACATTTCAAATATATTCCAAGGCAAATAAATTGTGGGATTCTGTGAATTTGCAGAAAAAACTTCATGTCTGATATAAAGTTACTTAAAATGAATATATATTAAAATACGTTAAATGATTTGTCACTGTTGCATCCTTATTTGATCATAATAAAAAATACACCTGATATCACATACCAAAATGGAAAGTTTCCAAGAAAATTGCTACATAAATGTGCTTAAATTAATTTTATAACTTCTTCCACAGTCTATGGATAATAGAAAAAATTTCAATTATGAGCCTTATACTGTATCTATATCCACTTACCCTTCACATATCTTCTTAACTCTTGATTTTAACTGTTCTCCTTGAAAGAAGACAATGAACACACACTTATTCACTTGATCACCCTAATAAAGATAGATGAATGCCCACTTATTAACTTGATCACACTATTAAAAAACAATAATAATGCATACACACGTATTCACTTGATCACCCTATTAACTCTCTTGGTATGAACTCAGTCAATTTGTCTGACCTTGTAACCACCAAGTAACCATGAAAATATCTATACAATAACTTTTAACATCATATGTGTATCCTCACAAAATTTTGCAAACTTTTAGTAAACATTCCAAATATTTTGAAGACAAAAGATTTTTTTTAATCAAGTATTTTTACTAAGCATTTGTCTGTGAATATTTGTAATCAGTGTTGACCAGAAATACTTTTTACCTCTTGCAGTTTCACAGTTCATTTGTATAACCTCTAAAACATCCTAATGAATATAAAACCTTTTTATTGCAGTGAAATCTTGTTGTTTTCTTTACTCTAACTCAAACAGACTCAGTTGATTTCACTGATCTTGTAACTATCATAAAAAAATATGAGATAAATCTAAACTGCAATTTTTCTTTCTAGAATGACTGCAGATTGTAACAAGAAAATACAATTATTTATCCTAAATAGTTTAAAATATAATATTTTACATCTGTTTCTACTTAATTTTATTGTTTTATTGCTCTTTCAACAGTGTTTAACTAATAATACCACTATACAAGCAATAAACAAGATTAAGTTACCATATTGAATGACCTAATACATGAGATACTCATTAACTAACCTAACAAGTTCCTCATATTTACATTGCAATTAATTTTATATTAAATTAATACAAAAATATACATTAAAAAAAGAAATGTAGTACATGTGTTTGGTTTTTTATTTTTTTTGTTTTCAGCCTGCTAAGGAAACTTAACCCTACTTTTTTGTAATGATGGTACTAGGACATTAACATATTTTTATTTACTTCAAATATATATAGTTAAGAAAAGAAAATAATACATGCACAAAGCAAACAATGTCCTATATACCTATCATAATTTAACTGGCTTTCTAACTAAGGAAAAAATGTCTTGAAATAATTCATTTAGTTGCTTGATCTGAATGTGGCAATAGAAACTTTCAATCTGTAGGCAAAATAAGAAAATGTCTACTGAGAACAATGTAGCATTATATGTCACTTATTAACTTCAAACTTTGTCTTTCTGTTGGTTACAAATGATGTAATAGAATAGGTCAGAGAGAATATAATAGGTGGGCATGACAAGTTGGTTTGACTTTCTAGTTTATATCTCCATAAACAGAAAAAGATTGATGACTTAAAAAATTAGACTATGCCTTAGTGATTTCTATACTACAATGAGTAAGTTATGTTAAACTCAAGATGTCAGAAAAGGATAAAAAAAAACAGAAATGGAAAGTCAGAGTGAATGTATTTAAATATTTCCTTTTAAAATTAAGAAATAAAACTTATATAATATTTAAACAGTTTAATCAAATTTTGGATGTAACTGTAACAGGTTGCACCTTGTGCACTGCGGCCTACTTGTATTGAGAGAGTTAAAGAAAACAACAATTATGAATATCACTTATTCACTCTTGAAAAAAACCCACAAAAAAAAACAACAGATAAACACTCGCTTGTTTACCGGATCACCCTACTGACAAGGTAAGTAATTATGTATAATGCTACAAAGAACAATGTTTTGCTCAGGAAATAAAGTTATCAGATGACTAACAGTGGATAAAACTATTTTATATACATTTGTACAGACACAATAATTCACAATTCCGGTATTCTATAAGAAGTTACAACATAATTTTCTTTTATTTATTTTTGAGACATTTAAAGATATATGTTTTCTACCTGTATTTATAGAGTAATTTTAAACATTTTTGGTTTATTTAGTTTTTATGTAGTTTTGACATATGTGGTCAACAAAGTCATTGAGAATGTCTTGTTGCTTTGTTCTCTACAGTAGATAATGTCTATTATGTCTAGAAGAATATTGCAGTGACATACAGAATCCAGCTTGAAAGAACTAAGATTGTGATATCCTTTGATGTTTGAATTGACAATATCTGAATGTTACAACCAACTACTACTGTAAGAGAACAAATGTTTCAAGGTGATGTTGTTAACTGAATAAAGGAACCTAGCTTAACTGTATAACAAATATGCTTTCCCAGTTCAGAGTTCACCTGGAGCTATTCGAATAAAAGCATACTTTCAAATCATCATGTTCAGTTGAACAGAATCGGAGAGAAAGATGTGGAGCTAATTACAATAAAGTAGAATCCACTGTTTTTCAAAGTACTCAAGTACATGTGCTGCATTTTCTTTTTGTTTGTTTCATAATAACTACTGTGTCTTTTATTAAACTTGTCCAGTCTCATTATTTCACACACACACAGTACAAAAACTCAGTAAATTTATCAAACACAGATTACTCTTCTGATTTCCTGAATAAATCTACTGTTATGAGCAGGTATAACTGTAATTTGTGTCAGGAAATCAGTTTCCATCTGAAAATACCACAAGTACATAGGAAGTTCATTTCTACCAACAGCTTCTCATTTTCTTGCCCTTCTAACTCTAAACAAGAAAATAATACAATCTCATAGATTACATATTCAATGAGTTAAGTGCTAACAAGATGATACTTTTAGAGAAGCAAAACAATAGATCTTTATATTAAGCTCGTACAATAACAAACTGTTTATGTATGAAAAGTCTTAATCTTCAAGACAAATAATTGGTTGGAAATGTGAAGAAACTGGTTATAGCAAGTAGTAATTTTGTGATGTAACAGAATTCAAAAAGTTTCTACTTCCAACTCAAAGCAAGTACAGCAAAGGAAAGGTAATTCTTAGGTTTATGGAATTGAAAATACACTGGTCAGCTTTATGTAATAAACTTAAAACACTGTCTGAAACAAACTGGAGAACTTCAAAAAAGCTGATTATCTTGAGATGAATTTACAAGCTGCAATATAAGCACTTACATTTAATTCTTGATTACCATGTTTATGAAAATGAGACTACTCAATAAAGCTTTTATACATTCACTTTAGGAGGTTTTAAGTAATTTTATACATTACTCTTAAACAGTTTATATGTCTCTTTTTCAAAGTCTTCTCTATATAAGATGACCTAGGTATGAATTGTTCACGTAAAAATATAACAAAATGCAATAAAACTACAAGGAAGATTCAAATAATTATTGGTCATGAAACTTACTGACACGGGATCTTCCAGAGGAGTGTCGATTTCTGCTTGTCTGAGGAAAACATTTCCCCTACACACTCGCCACAACATTCGTTCAAAGGAAGGTAGTCTTTCCCTCAATACAACTCCTGCTACAAATCTACTCAAAATAAAAAAAGAGAACTAAGTTTATTTATTACACATTGTTTTCATACACAAGGTAGAAAATGGGTTACATTTCTTATCATTATTTCAAAATATTCAAAAACAACAAAGTAAAGATGTTTATTACTGAGAGTTTGTATACTACTAAAACTGATAGATAGATTCTTCAAGATTTTGTTTTGTAATCTTACGCCTTTTAATGAAGATGGGAACATTGACAGGGAAGTAATATAATAGCCAATGCTCGGTGAGAGGTTTTCGTTTATAAAATTTTGTTGTTCTCGACTTGATTTTTATTTTATTACCTCGTCTCCATAGTTACTATTTGCAAATATTCAATAACATTGTATGTCCATTTTATTGTTGTTATTTTTACGCTCCTTTATAACACATTTTTATCTCATCATTTAATTTCTCTTGTGCATATATTGTTGTATAGAAGATATTTTAAAGTGATTCATCAGGTGGAAAACGAATAGACAGATAGATAAACCGATATGTGGCGCCATCTAGTGTACCTAAATTCATCTAGAAATTTTCATAAAAGTGACCCGAAAAACGGGGCTAACTCGGTAACCCGTGGCCCGATTTTAACAAAACTTGTTTTATTCTGTTTCTATTTTCATTTCATTACAAATATGGTGGTGTTGTGCACCGTTTTTGCTGTATTTAATTACAACAAGCCCACAAACAAACAATCTCAGAGTTTTAGTAGTATATAGATAGATACAGTAATTGCCATGTTGCCAAACGCCCTCAAGCTGTCTGAAAATGCAAAAAAGCCCGCTACAGGGGGAGGTCCTAAATTAAAGGTGTGTTATAAAAAAATCGGTGAACTTGAGCTCTGTATTTTAACACCATATTCAGTTTTCTATAGTCCCCCATTTTCTGAAATCAACAAAGTGAAATTCTCAAATATCTTGGAACCATGCTGTTCAAAAACGAAAGAAGTTATGCTTTGATCATTCGCGTTCGTCTGCCTATTTGTTTATGTACGGTTCACGTGAACAATAATTACATATACTTTAGTCTAAATAGCAGCACGTCATAACTGACATATAGAGGGGTGGCCGTTTTCTTCCATAAATCGAAACGTCCTTATAAGAAACAAGACTAAACTAAATACTAATTGAGTTTGCTTTTCATCCTTCGTTTATAGCTATGGTATATTACAACGTGAAATGTCCAATTTACCAATTATGATTGATTTACACTAAAGTGGCTGGACACTGTACCAGCAAAGACATTCCCGTGTTCTGACTTACCTCCTCAACGTTATTAAACATATGTTCATCTTGACCTTTATTGACCTGGTTAGCACTCCTAGTTGCAGTATCCCTGAAGTAGATGGCATTTATTGTGATAAAAGCCAAAAAGACAATGTACGAAAATAGGTTGATCAAATGAAAATACATTCCATAAGAATTCCTGTGAAAAATAAAAACATTTCTGTAAGTTTATGTAGTAGTTGCAGACACTTATAATCAAGATATAATTTAATATAAAAAATAAATTAAAACGTTGGCTGCCATGTGCCTCACCGGTGGGTCTCAACTGACTTAATTATGGATTGCGTGACACACTGGTGGGTCACAGAGAATTACGTTTGAAAGCCAAATTTATCTTATGGCATTTGAGTTTGGGACACTGTAACTGCTCCTTGACACGTCTTAAATGTTTAATTTTTTCTATACTTAATTTTTTATGCGGCAGCGAACTTGTTAAGCTCAATGAAGCTTAAAGAGAGATAGATGTTTCAATGCAAGGTATTACATTGACACATATTTGAAATAACTTAGAGCCAAATTAGACATTTTTCTCACTTAATATCTTTGCCATAATTGTTATGTTTGTGGTGTTACGGAAGATAAAGATGGGGAAAAAGACGGTTTCTTTGTTTTTATCATTTCATCCTTTGTGTCTGTGAATGTGCTTGTTTGTTCGCGAACTCCTCCCGCAATCTTGAATCTAGCATGGCCAAACTTCGCAGATGGGTTCGCGATGGTCTATAGTCCGCTACTAAGGGCATAGAGGGGGATAAAACATCACTGAAATGTCGCCAGCATGATGGAAATATAAGAGTAGGTATTCAGTGTCACTGAGCCCAAATATAGCAGTGCATTTTATGTCCCTCCCCCTCAGGATTCCTGGGGGTCATGTTTGACACTATGTTCACTCATAAGTTAGCGGGACCAAACTTGTGTTACGCGCACTCAGCTACTAGAGGTGGATAACCTAACCGTGTTTGTTTTCAGGTACGAACTCTTCCACCCTCTAAGGTAGCTATAGAAGTGAGGAGCTTGCTTAGTACACTAATGTCTTTGTGAATCAGGAGGGGAGGGGGATTTTGAATTCCGCAGCGGAGTTTATGTATTTTCTATTAGGCTTCAAAAATGCTAATATGAAAGTAAATTGCGGTATGTTTTTAATAGAAACACTTTAATTTGTGTTATGTTAAATGCAACAAAAGCAATATCATAACCAGTTGGGTAATGTTATATGAACAATCAGTAGTAGAAAGAGCACTTTGCTTCTTTATAGACCAAAGAAATCGTGTAGTTTTTATATTAAATATCTTTACTCTTATATTGGATTAATTTATTTTCCAGAAGTTTTTATTTGACAAAATAATAATAAAAACTTAGTAAAAATGATGAAAAAGTTCGCGATACTTTAAAAACACAAATAATCATTAAAGTAAATAAATCAAAATTCGATAAATCCGATAACCGTACAGCTTTTGGAAGATATGTATAATTGTTGATAAAACAGTTGGAATTAGCACTTTCGATCTCAGTATAATACTTTGTGTATATCTATGGGAACAGTTAGATAAGCATACAAGAATATCGTATATAGTTCTAAAAAACATATATTCCATGATATAACTTACCATTTGGTTTCGAGGTACTTCACACATAACGGGTGTGTAAGAAGTTCTTCACGTGAGTAGTCGATCATGTACTGAAACGACAAAAACAATTATCAGTTCTAAAAGTTATGGCTAGATATCAATGATCAATACAGTAGAAAGAATAACACTTTGCTTCTTTATAAGCCAAGGAAACCAAGCAATACTTTTTCTATTAAGTATCTTTACTCTCATATAGGATTAATTTGTTTCCAGAAATTTTAACGAAATATAAATAAGAACATTTTATGAAGTATTATATTTTACTCTTTACATTTTCGTCTACATGACCATTGTATCGCACAGTTTAAAGACCAGCTTAATACTTCGCTAAGCATTGCACTGCTTTAAATATCTAATAAAACATGGGCTTCTATCCATGGTACATTATTTACGAACTAATTAAAGATGTTTTCAATAAATTGAACTCAGTTGACAATTATTTGTGATATGTGGAACACAGTAATTACGTAGATTCGAGTATCTGATTATGAATAAAAACTTCATAAGGCTGTAGTATGCAAAACAAGGCCGCGTTTAGAAAGTATTAATATTAGAGCGAAGCGTAATTACGAGCGAGAACTGTATTTGTATCAAGCTAAACCGAACCTACTTTGTTTTCAACCCTCACAAACACGCGCTAACAATTCTTCTCGTAAAACAAGTACAAGCAATCACCAACTATTCCTAATATTAATATTATTTGGTTATGAGCAGCTGAAAACTAACATTCTTTTGTGCAGTTTACTGTCGTGAAATTTTAGTAAACAATATCAGAGCTAGTTATAAAAGCATAGAGGATATTATAAGAGTAATAACAGGAAGGCAAACTTATAAGCACGAGGAAAAGTTTTATTGATGGTAGAACATACTACATGTTCTGTCAAAATATGTAGTATGTTCAATCATCAAGAAAGCTTTCCCTGATGCTTGTGAATTGTTGTTTGCTTACCTATTATTATATTAGAATAATGTAGTTCCTTACTCAAGTATGTTATGAGTAATAAAGGAAACGAATTAGCTTATCCCATAGCTTCTCACATATACTAAAAAATAACGTGCAAAATTTAACAGATTTCAAAACAAAAAAATGCTAGGAGCCTGAAAATATGGAGAGAAACCTGCCAACAACATCGACCGCCTATCATGAAGCTATCCTAATGCACGACTACGTGGTCACAAGTAAATAGACACCACTTTTTCAGAAAAAAAATAAAACTTTTCAGTCATATTCA